GAGAGAGAGAGAGAGAGGAATGTGTCAGTACCAGCTCCGCCAGTCCCCTTGCGGCCACCAAATCCTGCTCGCGGACGCCAGCTGCCACCTCATCTACGCCCAGCTGCAGCGCATTACAAACCCCAGGGAGCAGGCCCACCTCCTCCCCTTCCACTTGCCGACGCAGTGCGAGCCGAACCGGCACAACGTCCATCGGCTACGGTACAGTGCGTCGGAGTTCTGCGGCCGCTGGGAGTGTAGAAACAATGCGCGATTTGGAGAGCGGTGCGGGACGAGGTATGTTACGTCCTCCTCCTTGCCTTTTGTACCTTACTTACAGGTTCCATTTGAAATGTTTCTTTTTACGGCGGTTGCGATTGGATTGAATTGGATTGGGAGTAGAAGGTTGGGAGGTGGTTTTGAGATTCGGAATTTGAAACTGACTGACTGACTGTTTGTTGTTGGATAGGGACGCCCGGTATGGCCCTGGGAGTGAGAGGATTGGTGTGGGATGGAGAAGGCATCGAGAATTGGAGAACTGGGAAGTCGTGTGATTGGATGCCACTAGGTTTCCCGTCCAATGCATGAGAAGAAGGACTTGCCCTCTTTGAAGACGAGTGTCCGGCGTTGGCGCCTGGGTGGCTGGAAACAGCGTGGGCCTAGACATATAACAATACAATATGCCCCCGCGGATGCGCCAAACATGCGTTTCAGTTCTTCCTACTTACTAAGCAGCACATGAAAATCGGTAGGAAGAGGTGCTATACGTCAAATAAGTATATGAAAAGGCACTCACCTCTTGGTTCCTGACGATCAATGCTTATATGCTTCGTCAGTAACTTACCCTTTGTCAAATTTCGGATGGCATCTTTGCCACCCTCATACTCGCAAATGCCCTCACCAAGCTCGCTTTCAGCGAAGTCTATGAAAATGCCAGACGGGGCGTAGATGATGCTGAATTAACGCACAGCCAGCCAGCCAGCCAGCCAGCCTGGTGTAACTGTCCAAGAAGATCCAAGATCCTCAAGGAAGTTGGAAACGCTTCAACCACCTACCTACTAATAGTGGGGGGAGTGAGTTTGGATCTGATACCTCTTTCTCTCCTTAAAATTGTGCGAATTGTAATGAACGTCCCTCGAAAGGTATTCTCTGTCGCGGAGTCTGGAGTCGGTGCGCTGACCGCGAGTGAACCTGCGTGCGGGCTCTCTTGATTAATCGACGGAAGCCAGGCAAGCGAAATGTGAATTAAGAAAAAAAATCCCGGTTTTCAGTCGCGTGTATCTTGATAGTTATCTGACGCTTTAACAATAATGATGAGATGATTCGGTGTATTTGCAAAGGTATTGATTTATTACCGGTTACTCTCGCCTACTCTGAGGAAGGGGGCCCCAGAACTCGCGAGGTCAATTCTTACTTCCGTAGACTTCTTCCGTAGAAAGTATTCGATCTAGAGAAAACCATTCTGACATTTTCATGATCCTTTCCGAGCCAGAGACAGAGACAGAGACAGAGACTGCTTGATGTTGAGGTGCCTAACGTAACGCACAGCTCCACTTCGGGAAGATCCTCAATGAAGGCTCTAGCCGGCCACCTATATTTAGAAATGATCTCCAATCTTCTGCCGGCTCTTTTTCCAAGCCTGGGCCCAGACAGCAGGCCCAATGCTGAGGAAATCTGCACGGAGTGCATGAGTGCATGTCACTCTCCAAAGGAGATGTTGCGCGATCCGACTGCTCAGCGCTGCGGGAGGGGCCTCTGCTCCACAGTTGTTTTCCTCATTTCAAGAGCTGGTCCTGCCATTGCCTCTTCTGAGAGAGCGAAGGAATGGACAGGAGTTGTCACAGCTGGACCAGCTGGACATTCAGATTCCTCTTTGCCTGTGCCTTTTAATCATGCCGGCCATATAAAAACTCGTCTGCAGATATCCTGATGATCTAGATAATCCACAGAGCCACCTCGACCTTCTTTTTGCTAGGCTAGTACGACAAAAAGCGACCATGGCTGTCCCGGATGTAGAGCAGCCTCAGCAAATGGAAACCATCTCCCCCAGGGCTACAGGAGCAAACGGAGAGATGACAGGTGGCGGGCGGCGGAACATTGATGAATCGTTGAGATATGATTGGAATGGCGAGAACGACCCAAGGAATCCGTAAGTACACGCTCGAGCTTTGCGATGGATAGATCATGGCTAACGGCCAAGGTTCAACTGGTCGCTGTTCTTGAAATGGAGACTGACGGTAGCGGTTCTCATCGTGTAAGGCGACCCCCGTGCTGTCGGTAATGAAGTCCCTACACTGACATTGAGGCAGCTCCATTCTGCTCGGTCTGCCTGCTGGTGCGTATGGTGCTGGAAACGCAGAGATGGCTCGCTTGTTCAACGTTGCCAACGACGACTTTCCCTATCTCTTCTTCGCAACCACTTCCTGGAACGTGGGAGCCTCTATCTTCCCACTTATCTTGGTCCCTCTCACGGAGAGCTCTGGACGAATTCCCGGCTATTTTGGCGCCTACATCGCCTTCTAGTCTTCCTCGTACCATGTGGCTTGGGTCAAAACTTTGAAACGATGGTTATCAGGCGATTCTTTGGCGGAGGAGTCTCGTCCGTGGCGATCAACATCTTCGGACGTCTGAAAGGGACCTCAGCAACGCAGTCTTCCCATGTCATTTTCGGTACCACTTCAGTGTTAGGCATTGCGCAAGGCCCATTGATCGGTGGAGCAATCACTCATCACATTTCTTTTAGGTGGATCGATTGGGTTCTTTTGATCTCCATCGGCCCCCTTCTACCGGTCTTCTGATTCCTCCTGGTAGAGACGCGAGGCGACAATATCCTGTCACACAAAGCCCAGAAATGGCGCAAGGAGCACCCCAATGCTGAGCCTCGCTTTGCCGCAGAAGAGATCGACCGACCATCCCTCGCCACTCGGTTAGCGATATCCTTCAAGCGACCTATTAAGATGCTCTTCACCCAATGGGTTGTGTTCTCGCCAACCCTCTGGGTCTCATTCGCGTGGGGTCTGCTCTTCCTCCTCCAGTCCTCGGTTCCGCAGACCTTTGGCAAGACATATGGCTTTGGCCTCTACCCGACCGATCTCGTCCAGCTCGCGTTGTCGGTCGGAGCCTTGGTGGCTACCCTGATCAGCCCTATCCAAGATCACCTCTATCTCGAATCGGCGAAGAAATCGAAGAATGGAAAGACGATTCCCGAATCAAGACTCTACTCGAGTGTTCCTGGCAGTCTCCTGTTCACAGCAGTAAGCATTTCCCCGTCCTTCCCCCTCCCCCCTTCCCGGCTTGTCTTCTTAGCGACTAACACATATCCGCCTCCAGGACATATTCTGGTATGGCTGGGCCAACTACCCACATGTCCACTGGATGGTGCCCACGATCGGCATCGTGCTCGTCGGCCTCGGCATCTTCAGCATCTACCTGGCCGTCGTCAATTACCTGACGGACAGCTACGAGAAGTATGCGGCCTTCGCGCTTTCGGCCGCCTCGCTCGGCCGCAACGTCTCCGGCGCCTTCCTGCCCCTGGCCTCGCCGGCCCTGTACACCAACCTCGGCTTCCAGTGGGGGAGCAACCTGCTGGGGTGCGTCGCCCTGGCGCTGAGCTTGGGGCCTGTGTACCTGATCTGGAAGGGGGAGGCGATTGGGAAGCGGAGCCCGTTCATGAAGGAGTCGAAGTTTAGCCCGGAGGAGCCGAAGAAACGGTAGGGCCTGCTCTTAGGGACGGGGAGGGGGGAGGAAGAGAGAGAGCGCCTACGAGGCACTTTCAAAGCGACATTTTTGATTTTTGTAACTTTTTAAATAATTAATGTTCATCATGATGAATTATGTTTCTAATGATACAGAAGATATTATACCATTTTGAAAAATTGGTCCGTTTTTATTGACGGGACGGGTTCCGATATTGCGAAATCAAGTTTTTACATATCGGGTTGTCATTGCGCTTAAAATTTGGGGGGTTTTTTCCCTTTGAGAAATCAAAAATTGATATGTAAAAGTCGATTTGCAATTCGGTAATATTTGATAGGCGATGGTAGTGCGCATCCAAGGGAACGTGTGACTGAGTGAAGCCGACACCTTGCTTTATTATGCTAGCAATGAGTAGTAAGGAAGGATCTGGGTATAGGATCGACAGCTACTGAAATCGAGAGGCTGTAAGAGTACATACGGATACAACATGACATGGACGATTTAGCGAGGCTCTCCGCTATGTCTATGTTGACCTCGTCCGAGCACGAGAGATGCGCAGGTGGCTTTTTCTATTGATCCAGGGAGGGTGAGAGAAAAAGGGGCGTGGAATGAGTCAAAGGGCAGATCGAGATGGATTAAGTACTGAGGGATATATAAACACATGATAAGGGAAGAAGTAAGAAAAATGGGATCAAAGGAGTTCAATATAAACAAACTCAGAGCAACGCATGAATAGGAAATGGTCATCAGAGGTCAGTAAGGGAGAAGAATGCATGGTTCAACTTGGGCTGAGATACTGACCCACCCTGCCTCAACGTGACTCTAATCACATGATATATATAACTCGGCTCCGTAATCTACAACTAACCGCCTTCCTGCTTGCTGCAACTCGATTTCACGTTTCTGCCGCAATCAATCCAATCCAGTCGTTCCGTTATCATTGACAGTATTCCAGACTCCACGGTCCTCCCTGGCGTTGTACAGTTTCAGGGCCTCGCCCCGGGCTGACAAAGGAGTCACAGGACTGGACAGGCACGATCGATCATTGCTTCAGGAGTCTAGAACATCCTCCGTACCTGCTCGGTACCGCTGATCTAGGTCTCAAACCCCCCCCCCCTCTCCAACCTGAACCTCACTTCATCTTTCGTCGATCACCAGCACCAGATACAATACATGATGCGGGCCACGACCCAGCAAACCCGCGAAGACGATTCACGCCCTTGATTCAGAGAACCGACTTGATCAGGACTGTTATTCAAGGTGGCTGCATCGAGCTGAAGAAGAGGAGACTAGAAGTCACCGAACGCCTAACATCCGGCCACCCTCTTTCTCGGGATCTCACTGTCGCTACGAAACCCCGTCATATAATAAAATACAGATCCATAATTCCCCCTTCCCCGGGATCCCCTCGACATCACCAATGATGGCCGACACCCAAAACTCTGGTACCTCCACGATGGAGGAACCAACGCAGCCGCGCCCTATACCTCCTCCGCGCTCATCTCTCCGTATCCCTCCGCCCTCGCAGCCTCTTCATTCGAGCTCTGTGAACCGAATTCGGAATTCACACCTCAATCTCGAAAGCTTCTCGCCCGTCAACCAAAACGGCAGTTACGAGTTCGATCGTGTTCTGAAGAGTGGATACGTGCAAAAGCGGACGAGGAAGACCAAGGTCAGCCTAGGCAGAGCTATATAGCAGCAGGAGATCCCTACTAACAAGACTTGTAGGCTTGGAAGTCCATATACCTCGTTCTGCGACCCAATTACCTCTCCATATACCGAGACCAGAAAGAGGACAAGCTGCGACATAAGATACACCTCTCCGACCTGACTGCAGTGGCCTTCCTCAAAGACCCCAAGCAGAAGCGCGAAAATGTCTTTGGACTCTTCTCGCCCTCTAGAAATTATCACCTGGAAGCCACGTCAAGAAAGGATGCTCAGGAGTGGGTTGATCTCATTAGGACAGAAGCTCGTATTGAAGAGGAAGAGGAAGAGATGATGCTCCAAAGCCCCGTCGGATACGCAACAGGTACATACAGCGGATTTGAGCGCAACATGCAACAACAGCATGAGCAGCGTCTCCACGAAGAGCGTCTAGGCTCCTCCTCCCCCGAGCCTAGCGATGCCATAACTCGTACCAATACCTTCGGCCCCTCCTCCTACCGCAGACCGTCACATACAATGGAGTATTCAGGAAACGAGATATCAGACTTTTCTGACGTGGACATACCACGTGCATGCGGCGAGGCTTCCGTCTCCGTCTCTGAAGATGCGCTGGCTGTGAAACCTCCACAGACGAGACCAATGCTCGACGCCCGCAACCCCAGTCAGCTCAGCGGATTCAACGTCGAGCAGGAGCCAGAGCGGGTGGTTTGGCAGGGCTACCTCCTCTACCTCAAATCCGTCCGTGGCGTGCGTCAGTGGAAAGACTACTGGATCGTGGTCCGGCCCAGAATGATCACTATGTACAAGAGCGATGCCGAGTACTCTCCCATCCTGATCATAGATTTGGTGAATGTGATCAACGCGGTGGAAATCGACCCGCTGAGTAAGACGAAGGTACACTGTTTGCAAGTCATTACCGAGGAGAAGAGCTACAAGTTTTGTGCACGGAATGAGGAGACGTTGGATTCTAGCCTGGGGGCGCTGAAGAGCTTGCTGGCGCGGAGGAAGGAGGGGGAGGGCAAGAGAGTGCGGTAGTTGATAATGATGGTTCGGAAATTGGGTGTGCGGGAGTTTGATATCATGAAGGGAAGAACGAGTATCGGCATTGACCGGGCCTGTGTAACGGGATGGATGGATAGATTGGGGGATCAAGGGCGAGGGAGAGCGAGCGAGCGAGCGTGCTTGGCCGGCTGATGGCTCCCCTCTGGCTGCTGACGTCTTATGAGATTATGATTCTGTAAATGTAATACTGTTATGTTATGCATGATTCTTCCTTCTACTCAGTACTTCTTTTCTTTTCCTGGCGAGGAATTAGGGGGGCCTACCTCTCTACCTGCCTGCCTGCCTACCTTCCTTCCTGCCTTCCCTCATTTTTTCTCATACGGTCATAGGTATGTATGTCCCTAACCTCAGCTCGGTGTTTTCATCTTCCTCTCCTCTTTCCTAACCCAGCCTTGCCTAGCCTAGCCTACCTACCTACGTTGCTTAGGTACCTACCTACCTAACTACCTTTCTCTCTCTCTCTCTCTCTCTCTCTCTCTCCTCCTCCTCCACCACACACACACACAC